GGCTGTCATTCTTCATAAGCCCTGCCTGCGCCCCGAAAGTAGGCAAACACATGTCCCAAACGCATGAAAAAGAACCCAAAAGGCAACTATTCTGCAGCTTGTGGGGGTCCAGGTACAACCCTAAAACCCTAAACCCTAAACCCAAACCCTAGGGTTAAGGATCAAGGCGTCAACTAGGGTTGCTGGAGGGTCCCTTCTGGACACACGTCTGGGTGGAGAGCCCGCGCAGAGATTTGTAGACCTGGCTGGGGGTTTGGCAAAATTAGGGGTACTCTTTTGCGGGTCCCCATAATAAGGACTATAGTATGTTGGGGTCTATATTGGGGTCCCCTTATTTTGGGAAAGTACCGGTTACAGCTTCCCTAAACCGCGTGTAGCTTTGTAGGTAGCCCTTTCAACCTTTTGAGGACTACCTGGACCTCAAAAGTAGGTCAAAGGGTAGCCCAAAACCCTGACGATAGTCAAAACGGCCATCACTCTACATACTTTGGGTCTTCAGGTATCACTAAACAGCTGAGTTTTTTTCATGCCAGGTAACTCCGGGTTGCAGGTTGTGAGGGCAAAGAGGTGGGAGGTCTTACAGTGTGACATACCCCCAAATTTGATCTTAGTACTGTTGCTGGGTCTTGCTTGGGTTAAGGGCCTAGTCTCTATAGCAATCCAGCGGCCTACAAGGCAGAACCCAACCCCCTAAGCCCTAAACTCTAAACCTTAAATCCTCTGGCCACTATGGGATTTAGAGTGAAGGGCTGGTCATGGTTTACATGCACGAGACACACGGTCACCAGTGTCGATTCCTGATGATGTAAGAGCCGATGAAGGTATACATCCCTGTAGACCCGCAAGGTGTTCATGCTAGCAGCCGGCAGTATTGCTTTGAGCGTAACATCTTGCCAATCTCGAGCTGCCCGGGATCGGACTTGACAGAAAGCTGGCTGATAACAACTGGAATCGGTTTTAGGGTTCGGGCCTAGGGTTGAGGGGGCTGGGGCTTACCCTAAACCCTCATTGGACACACCTGCCCCAAGCTAACACGGAGCCCTTCATAGCGCCCGCTTAGAAGCTAGGGTTTAGGGCTTAGGGCATCTTGCTTTGTTTTGGCGGTGCCACGTCAGTGTTGGGGTGCAATAAACTCTAAGGAAGTTTCAGGTGGATATAGCACTTATATACTCCTTGGCTCCCCATTTAAGCCTTCCATAGGCCCATAGGCCTTATGTAAACTTACCTAGCCACAAGAAGAACTTTAACCTTTTTGGGCACCCTTTTTGGGGTGTCTACAAGTTCAAACTTTTCTAGCTCTGGTTATTGGGGAGGAGAGTAAAAGGTACCCACCTGTCAACTGCCCACCTGAAATTCCCCTTAATCAAAAGACCCCTGCTTTCTGCAAAGATATTTAAGCCATGCCAGCACTCCTGGGAGAATCCATAACACTGGGCACTTCAAAGCGACTTCAGACAACCTCAACCTAAATGGTTACGTAGGGAATAGTACCCAAATGGCCTTAACTTGGGAGTTGAAATTGTCTTAAGTTGCCCTGATAACATTACAGTATCGCCAGCCCTCAGGGAATGCCATCAGCAACATTTGGCATCTTACACACCGTTCGAAAAGCATGGGGCTGCCAAGGGGGCCTTGTTTTTTGAACAGGATACTGGTAATTAATTGAGGAGAACCCACATAAGCCACCATATAGGCCCATTTTCCGTTTAGTGTTGATTTTCTTTTCCGTCGGAAAATCAGTACCTAATCTAGGCCCCTACATTACCCTGAACCCTGGAGGTTGGAGTTTCAAGCTTTGGGGTTTAGGGATAACAGAGTTGTCCTGCATCCGAGCAGCAAGGGTGAAGTACTTGCAAGGGTGTCATCAATGCTACAAGCAACTGGTGCTCCGCTGGACCACCAGATTCCCCTAAACCCTAAACCCTAACCTAATTGTGTCGGAGCTGAATGCTAAGGAGCTCCAATCTTGCTGCTGGTGAGTAGAGCATCAGAGAATGGAAAGAGCATGGTACCTACTAGATTGTTGAGAGATACTTTAGGTGGACCCCCACCCAGTAATAGTGACTATAATGGATAACGGGTTTTTTTAGGGTCCTATTATACCACTATTACAGGGTGGGGGGTCCTCCGAAGGGATACTATAGAAGCCCATTCAACTAACAACCCGTAAGTTGCAGCGCAAGTTGCCAGAGCAGGTCGCGGAAGTGTTTATCGTTTGTCCCTCACCCTGCACAATGTGTAGTCCCCTGATGTAGAAAGAATATGGGGTATATGGGGATCTTTTTATGATATACCCAAAACCATATTCCATCTACTTAAGGGGGACTATAGAATCATGGCTTTGTTGTATATTTTTTGGGAAGGTTGAGAACATCATCTTACCTGCCTCGGGGGCTTAGGTAGCCATATTTCTACTTTCTAGTTTATTGGTTTAGTGCAGGACTGTGCCAAGCCCTACACCCCAAACCAGAAGCCGTAAGCTATGATTAAGAGTCTAACCAAGTGTGGTATGACTTATAAGAGCTATAGTCTAAGCTCTTGAAGGGGGTTAGTTTTATAGGGGATTGCATAACCCCCTTCATGTAGGGGTTCGGGTCTAGGGGGTCATATAGGGGAGCACTCTTGGGGTTACTAAGGAGGATAGTAGGAGTTTAGGCCATAGCTCATCTACTCATTTTAGATGCGCCCTTAAAAGTTCATTCTAGGAGGCCCCTACCGCTGCCTAAAGCAGGCGACTACCCGTGGACAACCGCCATGCATCTGTTGGCCAATGCTCGTGCGACCTGGCGCACGGTTAACTTGGCCTTTAGAGTTTGAGCTTTATGGGGTTATCTAGTAAAGATTGGGCCACAGGAATTAAACTTAAGTTCCTTAACAGCAACCCAGCTTATCTGTTAAGGAGGCTACCATTTCCGGAAGGGTCCTAAAGTCATCAGAGGTTCAGCCCTCCACTGCCTCCCCACAACTCTCCTGCATAATCCCCTTCCCTAGTGGTACACACCGCGCTACCTCTTAAACACAGCAGCATTCCCCCTGAGAGATGCTATGCAAGTGGAGAAACTCTAAACCCTAAACATATCTACCATTCGGAAATGGAGATGAGGGGCGTAATTTTATTGGTAAGACTAGGCGGCCCACAAGCTCATCCTGTGGCTCACCTTTCAGGTTGCCTCGCCCTCGCAGCAGCCGCCGCGTGCGCGTTCAACGTACGCAATCTAAGGTCCGTGAGGTGACGCCGTCGGGATGGCTCGAGGGGACGCGTTGGCAGGGCATGCCCTACCATGTAACCCTCGGCCTCCCAGACGATTGGAGCTTGCTGCCGGCAACAGTCTCAGGCACACTTCGGCTGCGTGTTTGATTAGTTTGACGCCGAGGCCTTTGAATCCGGCGTCCGCGAAATCGCCTTCACGGTCAAGCTGAAGAAGATCTCGCAGGCCAAGGACCAACGCTCATCAGAGTCATGACACCTTCCCTTGGAAGGATCTGGCGCGGACCGCCTACAAAGTCGTGGGCGGCACTCTCCTAGATGTAACTAACGAGGCAGCCACAAAGCTGAGTGTAAGTCCTCGAGGTGACTGGCACGTATCACTTTAAAGATTTCAAAAAGGCTGTCATGCACGCACCCATTTTTTGTCTCTGGACTGTGTGAGACTTTCGGCTAACCATAACAGTCACGGTTCGCCTTACATGTATGTATGCAATGGCATTAGAAAGACAGGTTCGTCTTTTGTGGCGTTACAAGAGTATCGTGTGTTCCCCCGGTTTTGGATAGGGTTTTTGATTTCACGCATGTTGCTCAACGATGAGCTGACTGGTATCCCACAATCGCTGAAATATGATCAGTCTTGTCTGCGTTAGTACTACTACAGCTACTACTACTACTACTACTATTATTACAACATTGATATATTCTGGATTTCCAGATGGCTTGACTTGGAGGTCTTGTCAGTGCAGCTGCTCTGGATCAACGATCATAGCTCACCTTTGCATTGAAATCGCGCTTCTAACGTGTGCCCCTCAGAACTGATGAGCCAAGAAGCACTTATGAAGTTATCAAACGTTGCCTTTCCAAGACAAGGTGATGTTCAGCCTCTACCAGGCGCACAGGCGCCTTCTTTGTGATGCGAACGACGCGGTCGCGCTGCAGGTCATGCAAAGCTTCTTCAACGAACCGTCAGAAGAGGCGGCCGCCATTCTCGAGTCGGCGCAAGATGAAGGTAGGATGCTACGTGATGCGCAAACATTGGTGCCTCGATGAATGTTGCAGACAGCAAATACTTCGCCGACGGGTACCACCTCTCGTCCTGCGGAGTGGAGAGCTTCTGCAAGGAGCTGCAGAAGAAGGTCGAGGTACGACCTAGCACATGCACATACCTAGGCCTACACTCCCCTGCCGCAGAGTCTTGCAGGGAAAAGATTTCTTCATTGGTTTCATAGGGACCCTATGTACCTAATGTTTTTCAAAAGGCTCCAAAGGCCAACCAAGTCTTGGATTTCTGCCATCATCTTGCTGATGCTTAAGTGAGAGTGGGGGAGTGGATCCCTATAAGAAAGAATCCGTATATAATCTCCATATATACCCGTATAATACTCCTTAAAATCCCTTATTATAATCCTTATAGAATCCCCACATATACCCTATAACAGTACCTATATTCCCTCACCCACTCACCCGTACACCCCTACACCCTAAACCCTAAACCCTAATAGGTCGTTCTTGGGTTGGGAAACCGAGCCGGGTCGATGTTGACAACGTATCCGCCCTACATGGCCTTGAAGGAGTTACTCCAATTACAAGGAGTTACAGGGTTCAGGGCTTGGGGTTTAGGGCTTGGGGTTAGGGTGTAGGGCTTGGGGTTTGGGGTTTAAGGCTTGGGGCTTGGGGTTTAGGGTTTGGGGTTTAGGGTTTAGGGTTTGGGGTTGAGGTTTTAGGGTCTAGTGTAATAGCCCCGTTATAAGTAGTTACTAAGTCCCATGAACCTCCAAGAACTTCCGTGGAGGTCGTAGACTCCAAGGGCCGTCGGCACATCGCATCTTCTGGGGAGGGTGTGGGAGGCGCAGATCAGGGAATACTTCATATAGATTGTGACCCTAGCATATAGGGATTACCAGGTTGGGGGTTTGGGGAATAGGGAACGTAAGCCTATACAATATCTCCCCTTATTCCCAACTAACCCTCAGTAGGTCTATCGAGAGATCAAGCTGCTGACATGCTCGCATGTGCAATCCTGAGCTGCTGAAGGCAAAACATAGCCGAGCGCCGTATGGGTCGTTCTCAAAATTATGCTTATAGGTTATATTACCCTCCGAATATTTACCAAAATGGGACCGTAACTTTGGGAATCAACTGCATGATGGACAACTTTGCGAGGTAATGTGTTTGTGTGGCATACGGCTTCATTGCTCTTTGAAAGGAAAATGTCTTCTTATTTGCCCTCATGTATATCCCTACACATCCGCCACAATCCCTTGACAGGTGTGTTCAAATCACGAAGCCGGACTCTGCCGGCGGGCGATGCCTTCCGTGTGCAGGGTCAGGTGGCACATCTTGGGCTTTGCCAAAATTAGAGATACTTTTTTGGGGCTCAACATAGTAAGGATTAGGGTATTACAGTGAATTTTAGGGATAGTCGAAACTATATTAGAGTTCTCTTATATTCCGCTTTCCCACTATGACCTGGTGGGGAGTCAACCTAAAGGATACCTGTGTATTTGCTGGGGATGTGAGAGGCTTGGAGTTCAGTCCAGGCTTTGAGGCTTCAGTGCCTGCGTCTCTAGGGTTTATACAGGATCATGGAAAAGAAAATGCAAATTACTATTTAGGTTTTGGGGGGCCTAGTAGGTGCTTACAGAGGAGAGGCCAGGTGTACTTCAATTTCCGCAATGCCGACACGGACAACTTGTACACGAGAGTGGGTCCAACAAAGTCGGCTTCGAGTGCAAGAATCAAGGGTTCGTGGGTTGTACCCCCAAGGTCTTACCCCTAACAGGTTTTCCCAAAATGTTTCCCTAAATAGCCTTATTATAGCCCACATATGAGCCAATGTCGTCCCCAAAAGTCTTTGAAGGAAGCCAAGAGAAGTCAAGCCCATCCTGCAGTAAAAGGCTTGTGTGCTCTGCAGCATGGGCGGTGGTCCCAGATAAGGCGTAACCTGACACCACAATTCCTTCCCAGTTATCAGTGCGACGGGTCCCACTTTGTCATAGCCTAAACTACGAGTTAACTCAAAATTCGGAGCATGGTCCCATGGAGCCGTTAAAAAGGATGCTAGTTGTATTTCGGCTCTCTGAGTTCCCCAAAGTCCCCCTAGAGACACATTTTCGACTGGGGGTCAAAACAAGGTAGGTGCCAGTACGGTCCCCTTGTGTTCAATCTTCAGTTTGTATGTCCGGGAGGGTAACTGCTGATGATGTTGAATTGCAGTACAAGTCAGAGCAATAGGCAGAACAAAGAAGCAACAGTCGTGCTGAGTATTCTCATTGGCAATCCTCGTAATATGTCTGTTTCCTCAAGGTTGTGCTGGTTGTTGCTTTTTGGGTAGTGGCTGCCAGGTCATCTCACCAACCAAAGAGGCGAATGCACAGGGCACCTACCGCGCTCCTTGGTGCTGAGGCAGTAATAGGCAGCACGTAGTTTTTGCAAGGACGTTTTGCTGATCTGGGGTTCTGTTTACAGGCGAAGCTTATCATGGACGTGTAGGTTCAACTTTAGCTGCACTGCGCTTGGTGCGATCGCAGCTACAGCATTGGTTTGCAACCTAGTTCGACACCGGCCTGTCCTAAATGCAGCTGACATGTACAGATGCGGACTGTCTTCCAAAGGTTCGGATCCAGGATGCGGGGAATGAGATCGAGATCGAGGCGAGGACGGACTGGATGGGCCTGTCAGCAGACAAGGACTGCAGGGTCGTGGAAGTACGACCTCGGGAGAACTCCAATTGAAGCTTCAGAAACAGAGCGGCTGCGCAGTGGAGGTTGTTGCTGTTGCTTCGTGACAGCCTAGAAGCAGCAGCAAGTGAAGCTAATGTGAAGCCCGTGAGCAGCATCGATATCTAGGTCATGTTACTGTTTCAACGAGATTATATCGGGTTATATTGAGATATTGGAAAATAGAATGGAAAATACTAGTATAGTGTTATAGTAAATTTTTAGTATATTATAGTATTTTGTTGTACATTATAGTAAGTAGTTTCCCACCGCGTGCGCGCTGTTATGCATGGGCTCTGACCAGCAAGGAGATTACGCACGTGCGCAACTTCGTGGCAGACCCAAACTTCCTCTGAAAGAGGTGTTTTGTTCAATGCATTCTTGTTATTGTCATGACTGTGAGTATTGTTCTTATTCTTATTTTATTATATTATTGTCATTAAGCATTATTCTTATTACTCTTATTCTTGTTTGTGTTTAGCAAACAGTGAGCCTCTGCTTCTTTTGAAGTGAGATGTGATGGTCTTCGGACTGTCGCCAGACCTGTGAGTCGACGCTGAAGAAAGAAACGGCCATCGCTGCGTCGAGTGGCAGACTTGCAGTAGGCTTGCTGGTTGTTAGGCAATGAAGGAATGGAGCAGAACATGGCAGCCGCATTTATACCATTGCGGATTGTCTCGTGGCCACTACAGGGATCCATTCCTCCATTTCTTGTTTTCAACCAGTAAGTAGAAAACTGGACCTTCACCACCTTTCTTGGAGATGATGTCTCTGTCAGCAGGGCTCTGGATACTTTGTCAGACGAGCCTTCACGGCTTTCATGAATAATCCTCTCACCCTAATATTAAACCCCCC